ATCGTTTTAAACAGGGGTTCGTTCTCTGGATATCCGTGTTATAGCAATGGAGCTTGCGGTTATTTTCCCATTGTCCCTGTGACTGGAGGGCTTCCCTTGGCAAGCATGTGCTAGCTAGGTCAGCAGGCAATTTGAGGGCAGTACAAGTGAAAAGAAACAGCTCCAGAACAACCCTGTAACTTTGTACCAAGCCTGGGTCAGGCATATAAGGTATATCAGACTAAGAAACCAATGTCACTCTCACAGCTATAGCAAGAAAGTTTTCCCAGTCTGAATGTGCTCCCCCACTTCTGCTTTTTATCTTTGTATAAACAAGGGGTCAGCAAACCGCGGCTCTGTATCCGTATGTGGCTCTTTCATCCCTCTGCTCTGGTTCCCTGTCGCCAGTTGGCACCACAATCTTGAGAGGAGCTTCCAGTTAGGGGGGTAGGGAAGCAGGGAGCACCAGGGGGAGACTCTATGGCGCTGGACAGATTTTGAGGTTAGCTCCACAATTGATAGGGCTTCAGTTAGGACAGGTAGAGGAAAAAGGACACAGCGCTAGGAGGAGAGACTATGGTGGGGAAACCGGACTTCCGTTTGGCTCCAGAATTGAATGGGGGGCTTCTGATTAGGACCTTGTGGCTCTTTGAGTATTTAAGGTTGCTGACCCCTGGTATAAACTAAGGAGGGATATGTCTGAAGCATTTTCTCAACTTAGTTTCTCAAAATAGGCTCAAGCCACACTTGTCTGATCATTGCCTTGGTAGCAGATTCTTCATCTATCCTTTAAAGCCATTCCTTAGGCCAGAGGTGGACAACTATAGCTCTTTATGAACTATGGACTTCAATTCCCAGAATTCCTGGGCTACCTCAGGAATTCTGGGTGTTGAAGTCCACAGTTCGTAAAGGGGCCATAGTTGCCAATCTATGTCCTAGGCCCTCTTCAGCCGGCTTCATCATTCATCTCCATTCCTGAACCTTAAAAGGAAGGGGAAAAATCCAGGGCTAATCCCTTCATAATTGGTGGGAGAGCCAACCTGGTACATGTAGGAAAGATTGTCCCACAGTGTTATTGTTACCTGTGTGGTGTCAGCTCCTCCTGGAAGAAAGGCTCATTGATGATGCCAAGGACGGGCTCACCCGAATGACGGTCGTATGCTCCTATCAGCACAAGAGCTGAGTGAAGTCCAGATGGATAGATGCCATTCACAGGCATCACACTGCTACACCCACGAATGTACTGATTAGTGGAATCTGAAAAGAGGGAAGTAAGAAAGGGAGAATTCCTCCATTCTTTCAGCAAGACTCAGCATTGGAACAATAGGTGTCAAGAGTGCTCTCCGCTAGAACAGATTTTAAAAATAGCATCAATTCAATTCCTGATCAATGTATACCGGCTACAGGCTAGGAAAACACTCCTGGAAAGACAGGAGAATATCACTATTGGTAAGGAACAAGACTGGATGTGATAGTGCTCAATTCTCTTTTATATAATCCAGTCTATGCCACATATAGGTAGTCCTCAANACCGTTTTTGGAATCGGGGAGGGGATCCACTGCCTGAAAATGCTTTCCTTCATGATCCTCGTGGGTGTCAAGAGGGGCAGCAAGGGCTTGGCGGCTCCTGAGGGGGTTGAGCCTTCTCCGCTTGCAACATCTTCACCCTGAGGGCATCGCTGGCAGTTGCTTCCTGCAACTCAGGTGTGTGCTCTGCCCGCTGCTGCTGCTCGGCCTGAAAACACTTTCCTCCACAATCCTCATGTTTCAGGCTGAGCAGCGTCAGCGGGAAGAGCACAAGAGTGGAGCTGCACTTTTTTCCACAGGGCAGAAGGCTTGATTGTACCCCATTCCAGTTTTTAACTTCCCAATCTAGTGTCCTGAGAAAGCTTGTGTCTCTGAGGCATCTCTCATTTGCAGGAGCAGGAGGAGGAGGGGGGCATATACAAAAGTCTCTGAGTAACTGGGAAAGAAAGATGCTTTTCGGGCGGCGGTTTTTGGCAGGTTCCAAACACGGCTTTCTTTCCCAGTTACTCAGAGGCTTTTGTATATGCCCCCCTCCTCCTCCTCCTGCAAATGAGAGGTGCCTCAGAGACACTAGATTTATCTTCTCTTCCTCCACCCCCACCTCCAGTCTGCCCAGATCTGTCATGCAGCAAAGAGATATGGTAACTGGGAGCCTGGCACCTGCTTTTGCACTGAGACTAAGGAAGTGGGGTTGTGAAGAGGGCTGTGAACAAGCCCGGTTTTTCAAGGAGGCATCCTTGCCGCATCGTATTCTTTGGACTTCCCTTTTGGTGCTCAGGTATAATCATGAGGAACCGTTAATCCAAATGGAAGGGATCCCCACCCCCTCCTTGCCCTATGAGCCATTCCCAGTTGAGTGCGGCAGCGGCCATTCAGCAGCCCCCACGTGTCTTTCTCTCCTCACTGAAGAGAAGAAGAGAGCCGACTGCTGCTCCTTGGGCCAAGCGGCTCTGCGTGGTCGCCAGTCAGAGGGAAAAAATAAAGCGTAGAGAGATATGTTTATTTCTGCCCTTCCGTGGGGAGGGGTAGAGAAAAGCGGATTTGAGATCGATAAAAGCCTTACCCTTTAGGATGATCGAGCTCCCATACATTGGGTTTTTGCCCTCCCCAGCTCCCAGAAGCACTTTGCAGGCCTCCCAAACTCTCTGCATGCCTCAGTTTTCAGAGGGTTTGGAAGGCCTGCAAAGTGCTCCTAGGGGCCAGGGAGGGCAAAACATTTTTAAAAAATTACCTCTTCAAAATCTTTGTGCATCTTATACTCCAGTGTGTCTTATACTCCGAAAAACACAGTAATTTTCTGAGCAGTTCGGAGAACCGGTTATTGGAAGAAATCGTTCCCCACTTTACAGGGCTAATCCTGCAAGGTAGGCAGGAAGGAAACATTCTGGTATGTCTGTATTTCTAGCCGAATCCTTGAATGAAAAATATTGATCCATCTGATCGTTTTAAACAGGGGTTCGTTCTCTGGATATCCGTGTTATAGCAATGGAGCTTGCGGTTATTTTCCCATTGTCCCTGTGACTGGA